TCTGTGTGCAAAAGCGTCTGTGTGTAAAAGCGTCTGTGTGTAAAAAGTGTCTGTGTGTAAAAGAGCCTATGTGTAACAAGCGTCTGTGTGTAAAAGCGTCTGTGTGTAAAAGCGTCTGTGTGTAAAAGCTTCTGTGTGTAAAAGCTTCTGTGTGTAAAAACGTCTGTGTGTGTAAAAGTCTCTGTGTGTAAAAGTGTTTGTGTGTAAAAGTCTCTGTGTGCAAAATCGTCTGTGTGTAAAAGCGTCTGTGTGTAAAAGTCTCTGTGTGCAAAAGCGTCTGTCTGTAAAAAGTTCTGTGTATGAAAAACTTTACAAAAATACGATGCAAACTATTGTCTTGTACTAGTCATATATTGTCTTGATACTACTCTTCTCGTCTGCCTATAATACATCTTTAATATAGTGTCTCCATGCTAACAACAGAAGACTCTGCTCCTCTACGCTCTCGGGCCATCCGTCGTCTAGTTTTGGTCTTATTCTCTCAGGTTTGACATTGTAATTCAGGGTTGTGATGGGCTGCAGGCCAGGCATGATTTTTGAGCTGGACATGGTCAAACGACAAGTTTTTGTGGATAATGCTATGGGACATCATGGGAAAATGCAATGAAATGGGAGATTGTATGGGATACAAACACGTATGGGACATTATGGGATATATTATGGAAATTGTGGATATTACAGAATATATTATGCGAAAAGGTTGGCTAAACAATCGTTAGTATTCCTCCATTAATTGCCATTGCACTAGGAAAAACATGATAATTTGGCCATTGGTTGCGCCATGAGATACCCTTCGGTGTCATCAAACATGGCTGGCGGGTTTTCATCCCCGCCCTAACCATCGGGGTTGCTGGGAAAACCCATGGGTTTCCAGCCATGTTTGATTACCAGAGTGTCATATAATCCCGACCCCCTTTTTTGAATACCTCCCCTGAAAATAGATCGGACAAGACAATGAAATCAATGAATAGAAGCCCTGAACCAGGATTCAGGAATCCTGGGAACCCCCCACCAAACCAGTGACCAGATTGCAACCAGAAGATGTGGCCGTTGACGGCCGTGTGTGGTCAAAGATGTTTGGATCTTCAGTTCTAAAGCACATGGATAGACGAAGGGATGCATGGGGTGCATATGAAAATGTTTGATTGATGGCTATACTTGTGGCTATTGTTTGCATAATAACTAGGTCCCACTTGCAAGTTCTGGCCATCTAAGATGTCATACCCAGATCCATCCAGACCCCCTAAAAAGTTTTCAGCTACCCATGATCTTCATGTTCTTGCCGTTTTTTCTCAACTTCCAACTTCGCCCCACAAAAATCCAGAGTTTTCTCTCCGAAAAGTGTCTGAAATCCACTCGTCAAAAGTGACCTTCGCTTAGGATGCACAGCGACCACAATGAGCAGCTGGGAATGGAGCAACGACCAGCCCAGCGAGGCGCTGATGGAGAAAGCAGCCACCCGCGTGAGAAGACGCTCCAGTCTCTTGGCTGAGGAGGTTGTGGATTCTATGGAGATGGTTTTTATATGGTGTTTAAATAGTTTTTAATTGTGTTTAATGGTTCCCAATGGTTTTTGATGGTTTATATGGTTCTTAATGTTGCTTTATATGTTTTATACATATGGTTTTGTAAGGTTTTTATTGGGTTTATGGGTAAAAAAATATGCTCTTTGGCAATCAAACGTGGCTAGGAAATTCACGAGCTAAATGGAGGTTGTAATGGGAAAAGGATCTATAAATGGGCGATGTTCAGTTGCCATGTTGATTGCAAGAGCGTGCATATATATAATTATATATATAGCATATAGTTGGACATATTGGAATATACAATTGGATGCGTTTGATAGTGGCCAATGTCTCAATAAAATAATGCAGAAGATGAAGCCAATGTTGGCGTGCAGCATCAATAGCAGCCCCCAGAGAGATAGAAACACCTGCTCGGCTCAACGTTTAAAACCTGGTGGTAAACTGTGTTTCTATTGTTCTCGAGGTTGCTATAAATTGAAAAAACATTGCAAACGAATCCGATGAAGCTGAAAACAAAATGACATTATCAGCTGAAGAGTGGTGATGAAGCCGCTGAGTTGGACCTTTCTATACCAATCTAGCCTCCAGTGTCAAACATGGCTGGGTAATTCCCTAAAATAGAGGTTTAAGCTGAGAAATTGCTTGCGAATTCTCCAGCCATCCATCCATGATCGCCAAAGATTTTTCATGATGTTATACTTATATGGGTATGGATCAATACCTACTAATACCATTTTTAGGGGGATGAACATCCATTTACCAGCTATTTTGATGTTCACCAGGGGTACAAGGTTTTGACACACTGCCATATGCCTGCACGTATGTACAATGAGAATCACAATTCGCAGATTGACCTGCCGATTTCGGAGCCAAGTGAGCCACCCCCGAATTCATCTTGGAATCATCCCTTGAAACTTGAAGCCATGAAAAGTTCTAAACTCATTGGTTGATTTTGCCCTCTGTTTTCTGGGTAAGCTTTGGATTGGTACTTTAGTATACTCTAGTACTTTAATTAATCGCTTGCCATACATGTTGACACCCTTCGAGTTCATGCGAAAGCCAAACCATCAATATCGATAATGTATATATTTGTAGTTGTTGTTCAGCGTATATCTCCAATCAGTTGTTCTTTATCCATTATGGATATTATGATATATCTCCAGCATTCTCCAGCTATATATTTGACACTACAGCTACTATAGATTTGGTGACAAGTAGGAATCACAGATATCTACCCAATCAGGTGCTTTTATAATCTTATATAGTTATAGAGTATGCTAGAGTCATGTTCAACTTCCGAAATCTGGAGTTATTTACATTTATTTTTCATTTAATCCTTATAGAAAAAACACATATATATATAACTATATATATATAACTATATATATATATAATTAATTTAGTGTTGTTTTCATCTTCAGTGCCTTTCTCCATGGCCGTCGGCCCCATAAAAAAAGAGGCCGCTTCTCCTTGTCGTCGCCAGTGCCACTGCCACCACCGGTGCCCATCGAATCGGTGGAGACCTGGCGGTGAAGTGGACGGTGGGTAGGTGGGTTACAACCTGTATATGATGGGAACCATTAAACACCATTGGGAACATAGGAAAAATGGGTGTCATATATATATATATATATATGGGTTACATGCCTAGTTATGAGGATTTATGAGGCTTGAGTCTCTGCTTTTGTCGTGGTCAAAACGTATTGTTTAAGCCTTTGGAGTTAGAAACAATCTTTGGGATTGCAAGATCAAAAAATAACTCTGGTGGTGATGTGTTTTAATAGAATGCCCAATGCATCTGGAATTCAAAAGTTGGTTTCCATGGTTTTCTTCGTCAAATTGCCGGTTTTGGGTATCAATTGGTCAATGAATCTCAACCATCCTGCAGATCCTGCAAGCAAGGAGTGCTGCATATTTGATACTACTAGTTGTGGATTTGTGTGTAGTAGTATATTGAATTACCCTTTGGTTATTTAACATAGCCATGGAAAATTGCCCATTTATAGATGATTCTCCCATTGAAACCTCCATTTATTATGGATTTTCCATGGCTATGTTAAATAACCAGAGGGTATATAGACCAGGACCTTCATTTGTAGCACAATTTTTGGGTACGTGAAATTTCAGGTACGTTTCAACAAATCTCTGTGCGACCCTTAAATTTCAGGATGTTTGCACCGAAAAGGTGCGAATTCTGGTGCCCAACATTGCCCAACACCTTCAGATCCAACGTATATGGCATTTTTGTTGCACATTTTTGCCGCGCATTTTGCACTCCAATTTCTGTGCGGCAATTGCGGAGCTCACCTGGGCATCCAAAAAAGTGTGTAAATTATTGTAACTTGGGAATTTCCGGCTGCGTTTTTTCGAAAAAATGTACGTTTTGGTGTCGACATTATGACATTTAAGTTGCAAACTTGAATTGCACACCAATTTCAGGTACGTTTGAAGGTCATTATATATAGATCATCTCCGGAAACAAAATCCACTTACAGATTCTTTGGCAAGGCCATCTGAAACATGCATTTTGATGTTCTAAGGGCGCCACAGTGGCGACAGAGAAGTTCAACTATTTGGCCATTTTTCCCCACTTGGCCAAAAGAAAGCCGATGCCCACCAGGCAAAGCTGGCAAAAGATACAGGGATTTCAAGCATGGAAACATGGGGATTAAACTGACATATGCTGTAATATATCGGGTTGATTCCACTAAGCAAAGCTGGGCTGAGGGTAACGGGAAAGATTCGAATGATTAGGACAACATGCTGGGTGTTCAAACCGGGGGTTGAAATGAATTGAAACATAATAGGGGTTTTGACCCGAACCATGGTGATGTTAATTTTCACCAACACCTTGGCTTGCTGCCTGCTTTCTCAACAGCGGGGAGGATGAGCTCAGTTTCTCGGGTTTGTGCAACCACCGGTCAACTTCGGCTGGCTTGTGAAGCTAGCCTTATCTACAAACATAATGAATTAGCTTGCTTCGAATTTGCTGTGTGTTGCACATCCACTGCAATATTTTAATCATTTTTGTGCATCTTCATCATGGCCACTATCCACCGTGAGGTGAGCATGAAAGAGGCAAAACATGAAAAAATGGGCCCGTTCTTCACGCGGTAAGAGCCTTGAAGCCTGGACGGGCCAGGCGTTTATTTATGACCGAAGAGACATCCCCAACTGGGTCCAGTTGGAAGATCGATGAAATCTTGGTGCATCGAAATCAACCGACACTCAGCGTGGAACCGGAGGGCCTAGGGATTTTGGAAGATCGGATTTCTTGGAATTAGATTGATGGCTCATTCTTGACGTAAGATTCATGGTTTCTTATTTGTTTATGCCGGCAACTGACGCAGGCACCATCAATTATCATGTATATATACATATATATATATGTACACGCGGTACATCCCCATTTGCTAGCATCTCGTTGTGACGAGCACTTCCTCCTATGATGTTTGCAATGATTTGACCCACAGACGAAACCAAGGGCAGAAAGCGTGGTGGCACCTTCCGAATTGAGCGAGGTGGCAAGGGCCGGGGACCTGTCTGGTCACATTGAAGGTGGAAGAGCTTTGAGGAGAGAGGTCAACATTACTAAACACTTATGTCACCTCGCACATAACCATATCTTTTTAGAATTTAGAACCTGCATCATAAGCTTCAAAAAGCAGATGTTGATACATAGTTGACTTCCCGACTTCGACTATTTATGATTAAGAGCCAAGAGAAATCTATAGAGAGAGAGGGAGAGGAAAAAAAATGCCGCCCCCCTGTCAAAAAGAATAAGGACGCCTGTTTCAATAACTTTTGAGGTGAAATTTGCCCTGAATTGGTGTTTGTGTCAAACCTACCCCTCAATTCGACAGTACCCTCATCTTCCATGTCAGATAGGTAGCCCCAAAATCATGTAGAATCACCCCACGCTTCTCGGCAACTGGAAGGTCATCATAAGGTTAATCAACCATAATCAAAAAAAATATTATCAATGTCGGATTATTTCGCCATTAAAACCATAGGTGTCAATATGTTTCAACATGTTTCAAGCCTGGATTTTCCCGAACTCGATCCCCGCTGCGTTCCTCCAGGCGCGGCGGCTCTTGGAGGGGGAGGAGCCCGCGCCCCGTAGGTCTTCGGTGACCAGCAGGCTGGGAAAACACGTGGAATTTTTCATTGGAAACATCAATTACTCTCTGGTTATTTAACATAGCCATGGAAAATCACCAGTTTTAATAGGTACACCATCTATAAATGGGCCATTTTCCATGATCAATACATCAATGGTTTTGCACTAAGACGATAAACATTGATGAAAGCATCACTGGACACATCAATGGTTATGAATGTTTATCATTGATATACTACGTGATCTAGTTTATCTATGTGATTTAGGTCAATTTAGTATCCAAAATAAGCTTGGGAAAGGTAAGGTGAGTTGAGCAAGGTGCATTCCAAACATTCCCCAATTTTCGACAAGGTTAAATGAGTTTCCCCCATTTTTTGGGGGGTTGCCAGGTTGCTTTTGTCACAGACTTGACCTCCAAGGGAACAGTGGAGATCTCTTCACTTTCTGATACCTCAGAATCCACCTCGCAAAAGAGTTCTGGTCTACATCATTTGTTAACCCCTGTCATGTTCTTGAAGTGCCAAAAAAACTTCCTTTACTGTACTTCATCTATATTAATATCTTGTGAGTTGATATGCACTATATATACATATATACATATATAAAGACAACATATATATATATAGGTGAGTATTGATATATAAATATATATAGGCTATATATAACATATATACACTACTATGTTGATATACACTATAGATAACATATAGAAGTACAGTATTTCAAAACACTCCTAGAGATTGGATGGTTCAGTCCACTGCGGCTCCGCCAGGTCAATGTCCATCTCCCAGTCAGATCCCACGCTGCTCTCTCAGGCCGTTCTCGAATGTCTATGTCAATATCTATATCATGGCGGCTATATCATGATATAATATCATGCATGTATAAAATATAATAATCGAAGGAAGTTTAGAAGTCAAACTTCCGACAATATGGAGAGATGAAAAGCAGAGCAGGGCAGAGGCAGAGAGAAGAGGAAGATTAGAAGAGAGAAGATCAGAAGAGAAAGAGTAAGACAGAAGATACAGATGCGCGAAAAGGTAGGAAATTCGCGAAACACTGTGTTTTTCCAATGATTTGTGGCTCCGGACGGTCGAAAAGTAGGCTCGCTAAAGCG